CTTTAAAAACAAGGTATGCTTGACTACTGATATCTCAACACTGACTCTGCATCTCCAGATGTAACATGGGATGCTTTTAAAGCATTCATGCAGGTTCAATACCAATTGATTTATAGGGAGAGCTAGAAGGGAAATGGGGGCTGATCTGGTAAAGACAGAGAAAAACACAGCTACTCTTGAATTTATGTACACTCAGACTCAGGACCCCTTCATCTATTTTACGTCAATTTCACATAATTAAAATCAGTAAAACAAAGATATCCTCCTTCTCCACAATCCACAACAAAAAAAACTAATTCTTCACCAAACTTAAAGAAAATCGATCTTGATTAGTATCCCTCACATAACAAACACTAATGGTGAAACTTTCACACATCCTGTAATAATCAATAAACGTTTTGCCTTGTACTATCAATGTCTTTATATCTCAATCTCTAAGGTGACATACACGGAAGAAGAGTTGAAAGAGTTGTACATAGTGACTATAGACTTCCAACTACTCACAAGCACCTACAGAGACTAACTTGAAGCCCCAATCATGCTTGAGGACATACAGATTGCTATATTCGCCCTCCAATTGTGAAAACCCCCTGACTAGATGATCTACCAGCAGAGTATTTCAAAATGTATTCTTGGGATTGGTTCCAAGGTTTCACTTAAGGTTTGCTGTTGTTATTGTTGACCAAGGCATCTAGGATGGATGCAGTGGTAGTGGTGATTCTTAAACCCAGCAGGTGCCCTGATTTAATTTCCAAATTCTGATCAATACCATTGCTACATGTTGATGCCAAGATACTGCTGAAGGTTTTAGCCAATCGCTTAAATCTTGTTATTTCTGCTTTGGTTCATGTGGACCAGTCTGGATTCTTGCCAGGTAGAGGAATGAACAATAATATTCACAGGTTGTTCACTCATATGGCCCTTGATAATTTCAGACAGCCCAGGGGTAGTGGTCTCCCTAGGCCAGGGATGTCAAACTGGCGGCTCTCCAGCTGTTGTGAAACTACAAATCCCATCATGCCTCTGCCTTTGGGAGTCATGCTTGTAACTGTCAATCTTGCAATGCCTCATGGGACTTGTAGTTTGGCAACAGCTGAAAGACCGCCAGTTTGACACCCGTGCCCTAGACACTGAAAAAACATTTGACTCAGTGTAATGGGACTAACTTTGGACTGCCCTTCTCAAATTCGGATTCGGTCTTTGACCCTTTCCCTCTAAATGGAGAACAGGGAAGGTCTGTCCACTCTCCCAGTACGGTTTGTAATGGCTGTAGAGCCACTGCCTACCCAAATTACAGATGCAGCTACAGTAAGGAGTATTAAAGCTGGATAAGATGAACCTGCGTGATGCAGAGAGACTCACTCCACATTGACTCTATGACACACGCTTATCCTCCTAGACCTGTGAGTTGCTTATTTACATGAGTGTTTTCTATACCATACTGCTACAATTATTATAGTGCTACAAATATCATCACAGTAACTGCATCCGGCTGTTGTATAATTACGTGCAAGCTACCATGTGAAATGTGAAAGTTGCCAATTGTCTTTTCCAATAAATATGTTTTAAACCACTACACTCAGATACACTCAGATGTATTCTCTGCTTTCCTTATATATATCGCTTTAGAGAGTCTTCAGTCTCTAAGGAGGTGCTGCACTAAAGTGTTTCTGAATCCTGCAAGTTTATCTTGGAAAACCCACGGAACTCCCACCTGGGGCATAGGTCATTTGCATTTCTGTACCATATCTCTAAAGCTGGCCATACATGTGTAGATTTTCGGACTAGAATATTTGTAAGAAAAGTCATACGGAAACTTTGAACATTCGATGAATGGATGAATGTCGTTTGCAAATGGTCTTTTGCTTTTAACATTCGATTTTAAAATGAATGTAATTTCTGAACGATAGCTACATACACTGACCAAAACTTAATTTGATCAAGAAGTCTTCCTTCCTGTCCCTTTGAATTTTCCCATCACTGATGTTGAAAATCAACATCAATTTGACCCCACTAACAATTACAAAATCGAACAAATATTCTTGAAACAAAATATCTCAAACAAAAATTTGCAAGTGTATGGCCATCTTTCTTCTTGACTTTTACCTGGTATAGATTTGCTTCTTAATACTTCACCTGTGGGAAGCAGTAGTTGATGTCCTTAACAATATGTGTGATCTGGCCCTAGGAATGCATCCCATGATACTGCTACTAGGTATTATTGATTGTCTGGAAATGGGATGATATGCAAAATTGTTTTCTACAGTGCATCCAGAAAGTATTCACAGTGCTTAACTTTTGCCACATTTTGTTATGTTACAGCCTTATTCCAAAATGGATTAAATACATTTTTTCCACAACATACTACAAACAATACCCCATAATGACAATGTGAAAGAAGTTTGTTCTGAAATCTTTGAAATTTACTAATAATAAACAATGAAAAAAACAAAACAAAACATGTACTTAACACATGTTGCTCAATACTTTGTTGAAGCACCTTTAGCTCCAATTACAGCCTCAAGTCGTTTTGAGTATGATGCTACAAGCTAGGCACACCCATTTTGGGTAATTTCTCTCATTCTTCTTTGCAGTACCTCTCAAGCTCCATCAGTTTGGAAAGATGAACCGTTTCCTCAGTCTAAGGTCCAGAGCGCTCTGGAACAAATTTTCATCAAGGATGTCTCTGTACATTACTACATTCATCTTTCCTTCAATCCTGACTAGTCTCCCAGTTCCTGCCACTGAAAAAAACATCCCCACAGCATGATGCTGCCACCACCATGCTTCACTGTAGGGATGGTATTGGCCAGGTGGTGAGAGGTGCCTGGTTTCCTCTAGACATGACACTTTACATTCAGGCCAAAGACTTAAATCTTTATTTCATCAGACCAGAGAGTTTTGTTTCTTATGGTCTGAGAGTCCCTCAGGTGCCTTTTGGCAAACTCCAGGCAGGGCTGACATTTGCCTTTTACTGAGGAGTGGCTTCTGTCTGGCCTGTACCATACAGGCCTGCTTGGTGGACTGCTGCAGAGATGGTTGTTCTTTTGGAAGGTTCTCCCATCTACACAGAGAAATGCTTGGGCTCTTTCACAGTGACCATTGGGTGCTTGGTTACCTCCCTGGCTATGTCCCTTCTCCCTCGATTGCTCATTTTTGCCAGGCGGCCCCCTCTAAAAAGATTCCTGGTGGTTCCAAACTTCTTCCGGATGATGGAGGCCACTGTGATCATTGGGATCTTCAATGCTGCAGAACTTTTTCAGTACCCTTCCCCAGATCTGTGCTTTTGATACAATGCTGTCTTGGAGGTCTACAGACAATTCCTTGGACTTCATGGCTTGGTTTGTGCTCTGATATGCACTGTTAACTGTGAGACCTTATATAGACAGGTGTATGCCTTTCCTAATTATGTCCAATCAACTGAATTTCCCACAGGTGGACTCCAATCAAGTTGTGGAAACATCTCAAGGATGATCAGTGGGAACAGGATGCACCAGAGCTCAGTTTTAAGTGTCATCACAAAGGCTGTGAATACTTATGTACATACGTGTTTTTTATTTTTAATAAATTGCAAAGATTTTGAAACAAACTTCTTTCACATTGTCATTATGGGGTATTGTTTGTAGAATGTTGAGGGAAAAAAAATGAATTTAATCCATTTTGATATGAGGCTGTAACATAACAAAATGTGGCAAGTTAAGCGTTGTGAATACTTTCTGGATGCACTATATGTCACCTGCTATGCAAGACAGGAAATCCTATTAATTGGAAGCTAGCTACACCTTTTAACCTGCCTGCTTGACATGCCACTATCAATAACATTTTGCCAATGTACAAACTGACTTAAAGTAGAAATTGACTAAAAATTAAATAAGATTGAATGCATGGATCAGAAAAATTTATTCTGAAGGGTCCTTCCTTGGGAAGGTAATTTCATGCAGGAGTGGTGTCCAGGATGAAGCTCAGATATTCCAGTCATTGCAATGGCTTCAAGGTTGACTGCATGAAATTGATAACCCAGATGAAGTCCTGTAGGACCCTCTGCTACACATTGGCACGGAGGTCTACTCTTAGTTGCTCTAGCCAGAGTAGGCCACCTAGATACCCCAGAATGGGGATCCCCCTGACTTGTAGAAGAACACAAACTAGGGCAGCACCTTTTTGTGAACAACTGCAGTGCCATTGCTAAGCCAAAGCAGAGCCACAAATTGAAACTGATAAGACTGCCCTGTGCTGACAGAATTCCTGGTATGTAATGTGTAATATCAAAAAGCCCTCTTTTTCTAGTCACACATTTCTGTGTATAGTCTTATTTGAGATAGTGAGGGTAAGACACCAGGAAGCATTCTGCGAGTTATTAAATATGCAGCTTCAGAATACAATTTTTACACAGGGAATTCAGTCCAAGTGTGGATCAGAGTGTGAAATTTTATAATTCTAGTAAAAAAAAAATTATGTTCAGTTGAATTAGGGTATTATTTATTGTTCTTTTAGTAATGAAAATAACAGTTGGTTTTATATTCTGACTGAAGGATTCTAGTTCTCTGCTTTAATCATACATAAAACCAGTGAACAACGCACCTACTGATAAACCCCTGTGAGGCAATCAAAGAGAGATCTTACAGATGATTCATCAGCAGCACAACATCTTGAAACATTTCAATTTTTCATCCTGTACAAAAGCAACACAAATACATTATAAATAATTTAATGTCATTTTATTGTTACAAATCTACAGTTTTTATTTTTCTGGCACTAAATTTTATTTTCACTGAATACTCAAACAAAATTTTACTAAACCAAGAACCCGGCATTCACTATGTCTGGTCTCCCACAGTACACAGAACATGGAAATGCAATTATTTTAGTAAATATAAACTTCTAAGTACCTTTTCTCATTAGCAGTATATAGTGGTCTTGTGACTACTATCAGTGTCTGGCCAAAAACTGGTTAAAGCTGGTAGGAGGAGTTTTCATTCTCCAATGACTATCCTATGGGGCTGCATGACCCCTGACCCACTGTGCAGACAGTGCTGATTGGCCCTGTTGATCACATGCACCCTCCCAAAAAAAAAAAACCCCAAAAAACAATACACACCAAACAGAGCATGTGCGGAGTGCCGCTTAAGGCTCTGTACCATCAGCAGATGGACTGGGGACTGTGGAAGAAGGGGAGGATCAGAGAATACAGGATCAAACAGCCTTTTTACATAAGCGGAAGATTAACCCCTTAGGTTCCATAGTGAGTATAACAAGCATGCTTTACTGCATATACAGACTGATTTTACTGTTGTGGGTTTAGTAACACTTTAATTTACTGAAAATACAATTTTATTGTCACAATTCTAAAATGATATATACAGTACTTAAATTCTGATGAATCTCACTGGTGAGATCTTTCTTTGAATGTCTTACCAGGGTTTATCAGTGAGTACTCTGTTGACTTGTTGGATGGATGACTAAGCACTTACTAGTGTGAAAAGTTGCAAATGTGTATTTCTGTGAGGATACCTGGACTGTTCACAATCAAGTGATTGTCTAAGCGTTGTGCAGACTTCTTATTTTCTGTCACATTTTGAGCTATTGCAATGTGTGATGTGTAATTCCCTGATCAGCTTAGATATGTAACCCCTCCAATGTGTATGATATGCATGGCATGGTTCCAGTAGCTGATTTCATTTTGGGTTTACTAGAACTGTCCCGATTTTCTCAAACAATGCTTTTCCAATAAAGACATGCCCGGAGCTTTGAAAGAAGAGAATAAGCACAGGGTATACATGACTGGGTAGACGAAAACCTGAAAGGATAGAGTTAATGTAGCTGTTTATATATGAATATTAGAGCAAACTTACTGGATTGGAGGAGTAGACAATGTGATGGGAGGAGCTGAAGAGAGAGCAGTTGGTGGAGTGGAGTGAAGGGTGCCACTTGCAAGCTGGAAATCATTGGTGGAACATCTGTCTAGCTGTCTCCTGCGATTTTTGCACACAAAGAATACGACCATGAGTGAATTGGAACAGCTCTTATCCCAGTTTTGTGCTGCGCCTACAAGACATGGCCTGGATTGGTTTCAGAGGCAGGCTGTAGCCTCTCTGCAGGGGGTAAGGCAAGGTTCACCACAGCCAGAGCCTGCCACCACACAGACTCGGAGGTCTCGACCTCCAGAGCGCCTCAGCCCAGAAATGACCCCCAGGGCTCAGCACTGCATTGGGAGTTCCAGTAGGCACCCTCCAGGTACACCTGCCAACCGTCTGCCAGCTTCCGCAGGTGATAGCCCTGGAAGGAATCCCTTTCACAGGCGAAGCCCAGAAGCAGAGGACTCTCACCTTTCCGCAGCCTCAGTCCCCTTCTTGGTCATCCAGATCCCGGAGCAGGCGGCCGGATCTATTGGTGATGTTTCGGTCGGTGGGTCGGCCTGGCGGGAAAGAGGATAATCACCAGCCTGTCCCCTGGTGTAGCCGGCGGCCCTTCAGCGACAGGACATAGGAGATGGCATGGTGGTGCAGCCTCATCTGCATCTGTGTTGCAGCAGTCAGAGGACAGTGCCTGTGGGCCTCAGCGGGGGCCTAGGAGGGCTGCATACGTGGATACCAGAGCAAAGAGCGGGTTGCATGGTGATGATGCCACAGCCAGGCACCGGAGTCATGCCTGGCTGTTGGCGGTTGGAGACTGAGCCCTCTGGGTGCTCATCATGCCAGGTGGAGGGGAGCATCTGCGGTGCCCAGATCTAGAGGATGGTCTACATCTAGAGGAGTGTCAAGGGTTCATGGGCATGCAGAGATCCACTCAGATGGAGAAGTCAGCAGCGCTAAGGAGGGTGAGCTGGCAGAAGGGACCCTGGAGTCAGCGGGGGAGACAGGTCTCCTGTAATGTCTGTTGGGTCTGGCGTGGGGGGACAGGGGTCGCTAGGGGCCGTCAGTGGGTCTGGTAGCTCTGGTGCAGTGCAGGTGGGTAGCGACTTTTGAGTCACTTATTGGGCAGGTTGGAGGCAGAGATCCCCGCCAGTGACTATGTGGGCTCCCCTGGGGGGGCTGGGAGGCGGCAATGGGGGCAATTTCCCCTTTTAAGGGCCCCCTTTGATTTCCATCATGGGCACACAAACAGAACATGACATGCCAGGATCCTTGGTGACCGATGCTGGGAATCCGAAGGAAGGAAGAGGCCAAGGATGTGGAACGGGTGCGGCTAGCAAACTCGGCTAGGTGTGAAGTGTATGTGTGCTTCAAGGGTCCTCTTGGTGCTCACCTGAAGGTGGATGTATCTAAGAAGATATGGAAAGGTGAGTACGTAGAAATTTTTTCCTTGCTCCCACTGGAAACATTTAATTTGGATAAAGTGAAGCCAGACGAAAGCAAAAGAGACAAGGAAGAGAAGATGAAGTATTGGCTCATTCCTCGGACGTTTGTCAGTTGGTTGCAAGCGTTCGCAATTATGGCTAGCGTGATCAGGGAAAAGGCTCCAGAGCATTGTTTGGCACTATTTTGCTATCTGGACGCCATTAGTGAGGCTCACGGGTCGATGGTGGGCTGGCTGGGCTCAACGAGCAATTTTGACAGCATAAGGCTATTCGCCCCTCCATACGCTGGGATCACAAGGATATCTGCTTATGGATGAAGTTGATGACTTCTTCCAGGTCTGGGTGTCAATTTTTTCCTGGGGGGGCCGGCGGCTCCTCCACCTCAGTACCGCTGGCCGGTGGAAAGAAGGGGTTTTCTTTGCAGTTTAATGACAGCACATGTCAGGTTTGGTAGAGCCTGCCACTTCAAACATGAATGTTCTGGTTGCGGAGGAATCGGGGTTTAGGGAGAATTTTCGTATCCTGAGTCTGTTACGAGTGGTTCCCCCGGTTTCCAAAAATTTACTTTCGGTGCTCCTTCATCAAGAGGTTGTGTCGGAGAAGCTCCGCAAGGAGGTGGCTTTGGATCGCGTGAGTGGCCCGTTTCCATCTCCTCCTATTCCGGGACTGGTGGTAACCCCATCAAGTGTGGTTCCAAAGAAGGAGGCGGGTAAGTTCAGGATAATTCACCATCTCTTGTATCCAACCGGGGGCTCAGTGAATGATGGTATTGACCCGCAGGATTGTGCGGTTACCTATACATTATTCGACGCCGCTGTTTCCTGGGTCCGTAAATGTGGCCAGGGTGCTCTCATGACTAAAGCTGATGTTAAATCAGTTCTGTCTCCTTCCGGTCCATCCTCAATTTCCGTTTGTTGGGGTGTCATTGGCAAGGTTCTTACTTTGTTGATCGTTGCCTGCTGATGGGCTGTTTCGTCTCGTGTGCCTTATTTGAGAAGTTTAGTTCGTTTCTCGAATGGGCAGTCAGGGATGTCTCCGGTCTTAACTTAGTTATCCACTATCTGGATGATTTTTTTGTGTATTGGCCCATCTGGGACTAGGGCTTGCGCAATTCTGCTGGGTATGCTGCAACATCTGGCAGCCTGTTTTGGCACTCCTTTGGCCTTGGATAAAACAGAGGGCCCAACTACGGAACTAGTTTTTTTGGGTATTACCATTGATTTCATGACCATGGAATGCAGATTGCCCATGGATAAACTGATGGCTCTCAGGATGGAAGTGGGACTTGTATGAGGATGTCAGAGGATCCATTTGCATGAACTACAGTTTTTGCTTGGTAAGTTGAATTTCACATATTATTCCTATGGGCAGGATTTTCTGTAGGTGGCAGCTAATTACAGGCCATTACATCAGGCTGTCCAGTGAGCTTCGGGCTGATCTCCGTATTTGGGACGTTTTTCTTGGCTCTTTCAATGGCCATTCTTTGTGGATGGCTGGTCCAGTCAGCAATGCTAAGCTGGTTCTGTTCACAGATGCGGCTGGTTTGGCTAGTTATTGCGTTACTTGGTTTTGAGTTGTTTGTGACTTCTCTTTATGCTGTACACATCCCGGGAACTTCCAACAGAGTGGCAGATGTTTTGTCTCATTTTTCAGTGGGACGAGTTTCGCGTGTTGGCGCTGGAAGTGGAGCTACATGAGGTGCTTTGTCCTCGGTGGCTCTGGAGGGTTGCGTTGAAAGTACTGCTGGACTGATTCAGGAATTCTCATTGCCGCTACTTGGTTGTCCTACTCCATGGCTTGGGAGGAATGGTTTTCTTTACTGACAGAGGTAGGTGGGAAAGATTCTGATGCGGACATCTCTTCCTTAGTTTTGTATTTTGTGTGTTGTAATTTTTTACAGGGTGTCTCAGTGTCGGCAGTTGATCGTAAGTTGGCAGGACTCCCCTTATTTAGGTTGCTGGGAGCTCTTGATTTCACTAAGTCTTATGTGGTATGTCAGGCCCTGCGGTGTTACCGTAGGGGACATCGTACTTGTAATTCTAGACGACCTATTTCCTTCTCGGTTCTGGGATCAGTGCTTGACCATTTGTATTCAGTCTGTCTATCTCCTTATGAAGTGATTTTGTTCCGGGCTGCCTTTTTGGTGGCTTTATTGGTGTTTTCCGCATTAGCGAGCTGGTGAGCCCATCCCATCGGGTTTGTGGGGGATGTTTTCTGTTCGGCCTCAGCCTCGGCCTTGAGGATTTGGATACGTAGATCCAAGATGGGCCAAGGTGGAAGGGGGCGAAAGGTTGTATTGTTCTGGGGGAATGGTCTGCGGTTTTGTCTGGTCCTCACGGTGGAGCAGTTCTTGCAGGTATGGCCCAGGATGGGGGGGCCTTTTTCCTACACTCGGATGGTTCTTTTTTTTCCAAGTTTCCAAGTTTCAGTTTATAGCTGTTCTCCATAAATGTTTGTCGGAGGCGGGGTTGAATAGTGGGGATTATTCTTCCTATTCCTTCCACATAGGAGCAGTCACGGAGGCATCTAGATGGGGCCTGGTCGAGGGAAAGGTTAAGAGATTTGGCAGGTAGGAGTCCAAACAGTATAGAATATATGTCAGGCCCAATCTTTTGTAGTAAATGGGCGTGTTGTGTTTCTTTCTGTCTGTATGTCTTCTAGTTTTCTTGATGTAGTTGGTTGCCAGATTTTACGGTCCAGTTAGTGCACGGATGTCCCCTTTTTTCTTTACAGGTCCTCCCCAATGTCCCATCTGGATACTGAGGCATTCTTATGTATTCTGAGGGGCTGGGAGGGCAGATGTCAGGCCCAATGGCAGGCAGCTGGGTGTCCCCATAGACCAGGGCAGGGCTAGATAGATTGGGGTGCCGGGTATACTTTGGCAGCTGGTGGTTCCCGAGGTGCATCAATTTTTCTGTCTTGATAGTTCTCCGGACATTCTGGTCTTACATGCAGGGGGAAATGATTTGGGTTTACGTTCAATGCGAGAGCTTATTAGGGATGTGAAATTTGATTTCCTGTGGCTTCAGTCGTTCTTTCCGGGGATGATCATTGTGTGGTCGGACCGTGTTGCCCGCACTTCTTGGCATGGGGCCAGGTCTGTGAAGCAGTTAAATAAGGCCCATACTAACGTGAATAAGGAGGTGGGAGATTTGTGACTAGGAATGGTGGCCTTGTGGTTTGGCATGTAGGGTTGGAGGCGGATTCGGGGCTGTAACTTAGAGGGAATGGAGTGCATCTTAACGCTGTAGGCACTGATTTGTGGTTCTTGGGATTGAAAGAAGGTATCCAGAAGGCCTTTAGGGTTTGAAGGTGGGCACAATTCTAAGGTGTCACACTTGTGCCGCGGTGGCGGTTTGGGTCCTTGACGGGGGTCTAAAACTTGGTATATTGTTAAAACGGCGGAATCCATCTCAGGTATGGAGTCCTCCAGTTGGTCTGATTCAGTTTAGACTGACCGGGGAGATAAGGTTGGTAGGGGTCTGTGGTCAGATAGTATAGTCCCCGAGGCAGTATTTGGTGGCTGGGGATAAAACCTAGCTTAATGGTACCACGGACTCAAAATGGTATGAGGAGGTGTCGTCAAGGATATGTAACTGTTCTTGGAGCTGGATTGTTTATAACTGTGCATGTTTTTTTCTTGTTATTTATGGTTTTGGTTAATAAAAGGCCGATTTGGCCATTTACTCTGTTTTAAGTGCTGGTGTCTTTAAGGAAATAGAGGGTGAAAATGGGGGACAGTCTTTTTACAGTGGGAAGAGGCAACAGGTGTATGTGAACTACCCTAGTAAAGACATGCCAGGAGCTTTGAAAGAAGAGAATAAGCGCAGAGCATACAAGACAGGGTGAAAGAAAACCTGGCAGGATAGGGTTAATGTAGCTGTTTATATATGAAAATTAGAACACACTTACTGGATTGGAGGAGTGGATGGGGTGATGGGAGGAGCTGAAGAGAGAGAAGTTGGTGGGGTGGAGTGAAGGGTGTCACTTGAAAGCTGGAAATTGTCGGTGGAAGGTACCTCCCTCCTTCCCTGGTAATTGGGTTTGCGTGGTTTGTAGGAGGTGGGGTGTGGTTGGGGTCCTTGACGGGGGTCTAAAACTTGGTATATTGGTAAAACGGTAGGACCCATCTCCGGTATGGAGTCCTCCGGTTGGTCTGATTCAGTTTAGACTAACCGGGGACGTAAGGTTGGTAGGGGTCTGTGGTCAGTTAGTATAGTCCCCGAGGCGGTGTTTGGCGGCTAGGGATAGAACCTAGCTTAATGGTACCACAGACTCAAAATGGTATGAGGAGGTGTCGTCAAGGATTCAAACTGTTCTTTGAGCTGGATTGTTTATAACTGTGAATGGTTTTTTCTTGTTATTTATGTTTTTGGTTAATAAAAGGCCGATTCAGCCATTTACTTAATTTTGGGTGCTGGTGTCTTTATTTAAGGAAATAGGGGGTGGAAATGGGAGGCAGTTTTACAGTGGGCAGAGGCAACAGTTGTATCTGAACTACCCTAGTCATGAGGTCTGACAAACTCCAAACTGTGTTGAAAGAACAGGGGAGCAGGGGGTGGACTGACAACTCATGGGACCCCCGGGCAATAGGGGATCATGGGGCCCGTGTCCTTGCCCAAACTCAAAAGAGCCTATGAAAAAGGTACCAGCAGCATCTCATGGGGCCCCCTAGTGCCCAAGTTTCCAAATGGTCAGTCCGCCCCTGCAGGGGAGTCATACTAAACACTATGACACCCTCATTTTCTCTAAACTTTGCAAGTAGATAACTAAAATGGCCAGATTTAAATCCCATACCTGTGCCTCAGCAGTCATGTGTAAAGCAGCCTAAGACACATTTGACATAACATTGGTTGACTAAGAAAGACAGCAGATATTTCAAAAACCTCCACTAAAATTAAAGTGTTACTAAACCCTGGACCCTGCATTCACTATATCTGGTCTCCCACAGTACACAGAACATAAAAATTAAATTATTTTAGAAAATATAAACTGCTAAATACCTTTTCTTATCAGCAGTTAGAGCAGTCTTGTGGCTTTTATCAGTGTCCAGCTGAGCACTGGTTAAAGCCTGTAGGAGAAATTTAATTTTTGCTCTAGGAGGATGCAGAACCCTTGAACTCTGTCTGGACAGTGCTGATTGGCCCTGTGCTTATCACATGCACTCTCCCAAGAATAAAAAAATAAACCTCTCTAGCAATACATACCAAACTGAGCATGTGCAGAGTGACTCCACACGATATGTCTTATCAGGAGCTAAGAGGGGGACGCTGGAAGAAGGGTGGGGGTCAGAGGAGTCAGGATAAAACAACCTTTTTACACAATGCCGAGGATTACCCCCTTAGGTTCCACAGTGAGTATAACAAGCATGCTTTACTGCATATATAGACTGATTTTGCTGTTGTGGGTTTAGTAACACTTTAATGACCCTGTTATAAACAGTCTGAGAGCAGTTGAGCAATGTACAGTACAACTGTGAATCTGGTTTTTGACCTAAAATTTAATCTGCATGCATTTCAAGGTCTAAACTCTAATACATATTTTATAACGCCTATGGTGATGGACTTACTTTCATAAAAGTGGTCATGTTACAGTAGAAGAAGACATTTCGTTAGACACCAAACATGCCTATATTACAAGGTCCAAAAGTCTAAGAAGACACATCAGACTGTTACTGTTATAAGTTTATATGAAATCTCCATTAAGTTATAAATAATATTGTAATTAGGAATATATTTTTAGATGACAATATATTTACCATTGAGTGTATTTCTCCATTTTACCACTCCTTGCTTCCCAGTTGGTGTTAATGTAAATACTTCTACTTCAAAGGTTTGGCCATTAGTTTTCCTTATCACAGCTCACATGGTTTGTTATCAGCAGCCTTCTTTGAGCTCCTACCAGGCTGCACCTCATATACATTTGCTAGTGGTAGTGACCAATTAGGGAGCATTGTATTAGCCACTGTACAGAAAGGAGAGGATGATAAAATGAGTTGTTACCAAGCTCTGCTTTCCCTTTATCCTGGAACACAAAAGCTTTCTGTATTACCAGACCTGAAGCTGAAAGGTGCATTAACTCCATATTTTTAAGGTACATTGTATTGTAAATATGTTTTTGTGTATATTTGTAAATATCATGTAAGCCACTGTACTTATAATGTACATTATTTTGCAAATACTGTTTGGTGTGTTATTTGTAAATGTTATGTGACCTTATCAATAAATGTATATTGCAAATTGAACTACGTATTTTGTCCAAGAATCCTCAGATCTAGCTGTGCATACATAAATACTCTAATAATAGTGATTATTATTATTATACATGATTTATATAGCGCCAACAGTTTGCTCAGCGCTTTACAATATAGAGGGAGACAATACAGCAACAATACAGTTCAATACTTGAGGGTTAGAAGGGCCCTGCTCCTTGGAGCTTACAATCTAAGAGGGAGGGGCTGGTGGTACAAAAGGTAATAAGTATGGGAATGAACTGAAGGAATAGAAGATTCTGTTATTAGCTGAAGGCAGGATAGGCTTCCCTGAAGAGAGGTTTTTAGAGATCGGCTAAAAGTGGACAGAGTAAGCGATAGTCTGATAGATTGGGGTAGAGAGTTCAAGAGGATGGGGGAGGCTCTGAAGAAGTCCTGGAGATGAGCATTGGAGGAGGGGACAAGGGAACTAGAGAGCAGGAGGTCATGAAAGGAGCAGAGAGGATGGTTTGGGTGATATCTGGAGACAAGATTGGTGATGTAATTTGGGGCAGAGTTATAAATGGTTTTATATATTATTGTTAATGTTCTGACTTTTATTCATTGGGCAATGGAAAGCCAGTGGAGGGATTGGCAGAGAGGGATGGCAGATATGGAATGGTTAGTAAGGTGGAGGAGTCTGGCAGCAGCATTAATGATAGACTGAAGAGGGGATAGCCTGCGATGAGGTAGGCCATTGAAGAGGGAGTTACAATAGTCAAGGCGAGAGATAACCAGGGAGTGAATAAGTTGCTTAGTAGTTTTCAGAGGTTAGGAACGGGCATATCTTGGAGATATTGTGGAGGTGAAGTCTACAAGGTTTGAACAGTGATTGGATTTGGGGCTGAAAGGACAGATGGGAGTCTAGGATTACACTTAGTACCCTGGCATGAGGGTAGGTACTGATGGTTGTATTATTGATCTTGATGGAGAAGTCAGGGGGGGGGCACGGGCTTGAGGAAATAGTATGAGCTCAGTTTTCGAAAGATTGAGTTTGAAGAAGTGGAACGACATCCCTCAGACATGTCACTTAGTAGGTTAGTAATGCGAAAGGAGACTGAAGGGGTGAGGTGAGGAGTAGAAAGATAGATTTGTGTGTCATCAGCATAGAGTTGGTACTTAAAGCCATGGGAGTTTAACAAGTGACCAAGGGAGGAGGTGTAGATAGAGAAGAGAAGGGGTCGAAGGATAGAATCTTGAGGGACCCCTACAGAAAGAGGAAGTGAAGAGGAAGAGACCGAGTTTTAGGTAACGCTGAAGGAGCGCTGTGATAGGTAGGAGGAGAACCAGGAGAGCAGAGTCTCAGAGGCCAAGAGTGGAGTTTTTTTGAGGATGAGTGGATGGTCAACAGTATCAAAAGCCGCAGAGTAGTAAGAGTTTAGAGTAGTGGCCATTGGTTTTAGAAGTTAGTAAATCATTAGTGAGTTTTAGTAGGGCAGTTTCAGTGGAGTGTAGTGAGCTAAAGCCAGACTGTAAAGGGTCAAGAAGGTTGTTGTCAGTGAGGTAGGAGCTCAGGTGATTGTAGACTAAGCGTTCTGAGTTTAGAGGTAAACGGGAGCAGGGAGATGGGTCTTAAGTTGTTCAGGTTGGTGGGGTCCAGCAAGGGCTTTTTTTAAGTATGGGAGTGGTGTGTGCATGCTTTAGAGGGGTGGGGAAGGCACCATTAGAGAGGGAGAAATTGAAGATGTGAGTGAGGGAGCATAGGATAGAAGAAGAGGGTGACTGTAGTAGTTGTGAGGGGACAGGATCCAAGGGGCAAGTGGTGAAACGGGCTTCTGAGAAACCTTTAGTGACCTCTTCAGTAGTAGCAAGGTCAAAAGAGGAAAGTGTTGAGGGAGGTTTAGTATAAGGTATGCTAAGTGGGATAGATGTCTGTGCGGTGGAGATGCCCCTACGAATTGCATCAATCTTGTTTTTTTAAATGATTTGCAATCTCGTAAGCAGTGAGTGAGGTACTAGGTGGAGGTGGAGAAAGTAGAGAGTTAAAAGTAGAGAAGAAACGACGAGGACTAGATGACAAGGTATTAATAAGAGTGACAAAGTAGGCTTGTTTGGCAGCATGGAGGGAGGAACTGTATGTTAAGAAAGCAGATTTATGTAGGGTGAAAGCTTACTGAGATTTGGTTTTACGCCACAATCGCTCCAGCACATGACTATGTTGCTTAAGATTTCTGGTGTCGTAAGTCTGCCATGGTTGTAATGGTCGGGGCCTGATACTTCGTGTAGTTAGAGTAGCAAGAGAGTCTAGTGTGGATGAAAGCAAACTGTTGTAGACAGCAGTGGCCAGGTCAGGGCAGGACAGGGGAGAGATTCTGTCATAGAGGTGGTCAGTTGCAGAGTGGAAAAGAAGGGTTTAAGTTGTGAAAGTTTCTGCGAGTATTTGCTGTTCGGAGGGATAGGTGTTTGAAGATGAAGAGACTGTGAAGGTGATGAGATTGTGGTCAGAGAGAGGAAAGGGAGTGTTTTGTGTGGTTGTAGGGAGTGCAAAGATGGGAGAAAACAAGGTCTAATGTATTGCCATCAGTGTGAGAGGAGGACGGTGTCCACTGTGTTAAGGCAAAAGATGAGATTAGGTTGAAGAGTTGGGATGTAGCCGGGTTTTTGACATTAATAGGGATGTTAAAATCTCCGAGAATGATAGTGGGTATTTCAGAGGAGAGAAAGTATGGTGGCTAGGCAGAGAACTCATCAAGAAAGCGGGACACCGGTCCAGGAGGACAGTAGATCACTGCAATCCTCAGAGAAATACTAGAAAAGCAGTGAGTCTTGAAAGAAAAGAAGGAAAGAGAGGGAGGGTTATGGAGGACTTGAAAGGTGCTCAGTGGGGATAGAAGCAAACCAACTCCCTCCTTTCCAACCACTGGGTCTGGGTGAGTGAGTTCAGAGAAGGCCTCCATAGGAAAGTGCTACGGGAGAAGCAAAATCTGCTGCTTGAAGCCAGGTTTCTGTAATTGCTAGTAGGTTAAGGGAGTGGGAGACAAAAAGGTCATGGACAGAGATGAGCTTATTACAGACAGAGCGAGCATTCCAGAGTGCACATGAAAAAGGGAGGGTGGTTTTTGGGAGCATGGGGATTGAGATTAAATTGAGTGGATTGCGGCAATTCCAGGAGGAAGGAGGGTGCCTGGTGTAGGGGTGAGATACTGGAGGACCAGGGTTTGGGGAGCTATCTCCAGAGATTAGGAGGAGGGCGAGGAAAGTAAGGTGGGAGTGGGATGTATATGAGTGCACATGCCTTCCTGCCCTGGTGTTTGGGTCAGCAGGTGAGTAATGTATCAGCAGGAGGTGATGAGAGCAGTAGTAGGGACATGGTAGCAGTGAAGTTGAGATGTATAAGTTTTGAGGTGGAGCAGAGGGGTAAAAGAAATTAAATTTTGAGAACCCAGGATAGTAATATGAAAAGGAGGAGTGGGGGGAGGGGGCATATTAAAAGGTACATGGAGTGGGAATCAGACTTGTAGGAGATGTTTCCCAGGTTGTTTGCTTGCAGTCCATCCAGCATGCAGCAGAGTTCTTTGTTGTATCTTTCTGCTGCTTGAGTTATCCTGCTTTAGTTAAACTGCTGTGTTCAACTGCTGCTTCACACTCCAGAAGAAAATGCACTGTTGTGTTCAACTGCTGCTTCACTCTCCAGCAGAAAATGCACTGTTGTGTTCAACTGCTGCTTCACACTCCAGCAGAAAATGCACTCACGCAGGAAAAATGCCCCCCCATCTGCAACTGTGTCCACCATCTATGGCCTCCCCCATGAGCTTGTCTAAATTTACAGGGAGATGATCAAATGAGCAACTCTTCTCCACCCCAATTAGGAACTGATGAGGATAACATGAATTGGGGGGAGATGGTGGTCAAAAACAGACCAGCCACACAGACACAGGCCAAAGTCATAAAAGATGCTTGATTCTCTGTTCACAGAAAGTCAAATGGAGGTGAGAATCAATCACCACAAACAGACAAAAAGATGTAGACTAATTATCCTGAGTTTCGCAAAAAGTCAATGCATTGCACAGAGACCGTTCTGATTGGAGTGTATTGACATTCACATCAAACGTAACCTAGTTAATGAGACATAGGATAAACATACATATAAAATATACATACGGTATATGTATAGCATGTATGATATCTAACAAATCATAATTTCATTCTGCAAAAAAAATATGTTGGTTGACAGACTGAAGCTTTGTCTGATGGAAATAAAGATGTATTTAGACACTTGGCGTTAAACCCGTGTACACTAGTGCATAATAAAATACTCCTATAGACACACCCCTCAAACCCTTTCATTGGGTGTAATTAGATCTGGAACACCCTCTCCATAGTCAGCAAAAGCTGTATCAGCAGCTCTGAGCTCTTGTATTACCACTGAAACTATGAGTCATTAACCCTCTCGAACCACTCGTGTATTGTATTGTTACTGTATTGTCTCATGTACTGTCTCCCACTATAATGTACAGCGCTGAGCAAACTTTTTGGCACTATATAAATACTGTATAATAATAATAATAAATAATAATTATCCACTTAAGGACCGCCCTATAGCAGATATACTGCTACAGGGCGGCACCTGTACGCAAAATCATGTATATATACGTGATTTTGCATATCCGGGTAGGGGGCGTGCACCCTACCTGTGCCGCCATTCGTGGCCGCAGATGTCAGTCACCGGGTCCCGGCTGGTAATTGCCTACTAGCGCCCGGTGATTACTGACAATCGCTGATGGGGAGGAAAACTGTTTTGTTTACAGTCTTCCTCCCTGTCAGCTCCAGCACACTGCTCAGGATGGCTGTGCACAGCCATGCTGATCAGTGTGCTTACAGTAAAGCACCCCCCCCCCACCTGATAAAACATTCCCAGCACATAGTTAACCCTTTGGTCGCCCCTCACATTAACCCCTTCCTGCCCAGTGCCATTAGTACAGTGTCAGTGCTTTTTGTTAGCACTGATCACTGTATTGGAGTCACTGGGGATGTCAGTGACACCTAGTTAGTTTCCCCCAGTTTCAGAATGTCCTCTGCAGTCTCGCTAAAAGTCACTGATCACCGCCATTACTAGCAGAAAATAAAATCCCAGCATCTATACCGCCATTTGTAAACGGTATATCTTTCACGTAAACCAATTAATTTGCACGTATTGGGATTTTTTTTTTTTAGCAAAGACATGTCGTAGAATACATTTTGGCCTAAATTTATGACGAAATTAAATTTTTTAAATTTTTTTACTCAACATGTTTAATAGCAAAAAGTTACAAATATTGTTTTTTTTCTCAAAATTGTTGGTCTTTTTTGCTTATAGCGCAAAAAATGTAAAATACACAGGCGATCAAATACCACCAAAAGAAAGCTCAATTCGTGGGAAAAAAAAACGGACGGAACTTTCATTTGGGTGCAGTGTTGCATGACCGTGCAATTGTTAGTTAAAGTAATGCAGTGCCGTAACACAAAAAATAGCCTGGTCAGGAAGGGGGTAAATCCTCAGGAGGGCAAGTGTTTAATGAGTACCAATAACTCTTCCATGTCAGATTGGACTTGCTCTGCAAGCCAATTGTACTTTGCATTCTGTACTCTGAATCAAACACCAGGCAAATTGGGTATGTTACCCCAACATTTCATATGTCTGTTATCTGTCTGTGTTCCCCTGCTTTCCCTTTTTCAAACTGACCATGCATGGACATGGAAGCACATCCATCTCTGCTTGGTTAGTTTTCTTCTTTGCATTCTACTTGGGAGCACAGCTTGCCTGTTATCCAATGGTCAGCCTTGTGCTGACACGCTTCTCTGCACAGATAATCACTGTGAATATCAGTGTACTGCTATTTCTCTCCCTCCTGCTGACATGGCCCTTCAGTCTTCACCCCCACTTCTCTAACTACTTTATGTAGTTAAAGTGTTACTAAACCCACAATGGTAAAAAAAAATTCAGTCTGTATATGCAGTAAATCATGCTTGTTATACTGACTGTGGAACGTAAGGGGTTAATCCTCTGCATTGTGTAAAATGGCTGTTTGATCCTTTCTTCTCTGCCCCTCCTCTTGTTGAAATGACCACCTAATACAGACTGAACCTGTGGTCACATGCTCAGTTTGGTGTGTATTGCTAGAGTTTTTTTTTTTCTAGGGAGGGTGCATGTGATCAGCACAGGGCCAATCAGCACTGTCCAAACAGAGGGTCAGGGGTTTCACATCCTCCTAGAGCAGAAAGAAAACTCCTCCTACAAGCTTCAACTAGTGCTCTGCTGAAGTCACAAGACTGCTCTAACTGCTGATGAGAAAAGGTATTTAGCAGTTTATATTTACTAAAATACCGTATTTTCCGGTGTATAAGACGACTTTTCAACCCTGAAAATCTTCTGAAAAGTCGGGGGTCGTCTTATACGCCGGTGCGAGCCGGTGTCAGGGCGGCACTTTTTCGAGGAGCGTGTTGGTGCGGCGCCGCCCCCCCTCCTCCTCCATCGGACACCAAGTACAGGGGTGGGCAGAGGGGCTGCTGTACCTTACCTAGCTCCGGTCCCACGACGATCCGGTCCACGAAACGCGGCTGCTCCTTCTTTCAGTTCGGCCGCTCGATGGTCACGCTGCCTCTCGGCTCCGCCTCCTCACCGGTGATTGGGCGCCAGCACTGGAAAGGCACACAGGCGACCAATCACCGGCGAGGAGGCGGAGCCGAGCGGCCCGCGTGAAAATCGAGCGGCCGCACTGGAAGAAGGAGCAGCCGCTCCTCTCCCCCACTGACACCAACGATGGGGCACTATTCCTCCTCCCCACTGACACCAACGATGGGGCACTGTTCCTCCCCACTGACACCAACGATGAGGCACTGTTCCTCCCCCACTGACACCAACGATGAGGCACTGTTCCTCCCCCACTGACACCAACGATGAGGCACTGTTCCTCCCCCACTGACACCAACGATGAGGCACTGTTCCCCCCCCACTGACACCAACGATGAGGCACTGTTCCTCCCCCACTGACACCAACGATGAGGCACTATTCCTCCTCCCCACTGACACCAACGATGAGGGGCACTGTTCCCTCCCCACTGACACCAATGATGGGGCACTATTCCTCTCCCCACTGACACCAATGAAGGGGCACTATTCTCCCCACTGACACCAACGATGGGGCACTATTCCTCCCCCACTGACACCAACGATGGGGCACTATTCCTCCTCCCCACTGACACCAACGATGGGGCACTATTCCTCCCACTGACACCAACGATGGGGCGCAATTCCTCCCACTGACACCAATGATGGGGCGCAATTCCTCCCACTGACACCAATGATGGGCCGCAATTCCTCCCACTGATACCAATGATGGGCCACTATTCCTCCCACTGATACCAATGATGGGCCACTATTCTCCCACTGACACTAATGATGGGACACACTATTCACTCCCACTGACACCAATGATGGGGCACTATTCTTCCTGACACCCACTGACATTCCTCCTCCACTGAACCATGATGGGGATGGGGCACTATTCCTCCCACTGACTAATGATGGGGCACTATTCCTCCCACTGACTAATGATGGGGCACTATTCCTCACACACTGACACTAATGATGGGGCACCATCATTGGTGTCAGTGGGAGGAATAGTGCCCCATCATTAGTCAGTGGGAGGAATAGTGCCCCATCATTGGTGTCAGTGGGAGGAATAGCACCCCATCATTGGAATACCATACTGAAATAGCATACCATATTGAAATCAAATCTGATGTTTTTTTCATTTTTATTTGGTGTGCGTTGGAAAAGGGGTAGTCTTATACGGCGAGTATAGCTCAAACCCTATATTTTAACAGGAAAAGTAGGGGGTCGGGTCGTCTTATACGCCAGAAAATACGGTAATTGCATTTCCATGTTGTGTGTACTGTGGGAGACCAGATATAGTGAATGTGGGTTCCTGGGTTTAGTATTACTCTAAGAACAGAGATCAAGTGATCATTTATTAAAGAGAAAAAAGGTATTTATATTTGTTTTATGTACTGTATATAAACAAACATTTTGCCTTGCATTTTTATTTTAAATTGAATGGGTTGCTTTACAAGGTAAGGGGTGACATAAATGATAAGTATTTTTTCATTTTTAAAACTTTTTTTTTTTTTTTTCTGTTGCTTGTGTCTGTTTTGTACTTTTCTGTAAATACTTTTGTGAAGGTGCTACCATTGTGTAAACTCTGCTAGAATCCTATTGATGCACAGCAGGTAATGATACAGACATTGTATTTAAAGGTCAGAATTACAACAGCAGATGCTGTGAACTGTGCACAGTTCTGTAAAAACATGTGGTAGTAGCTACCTTGTGTGTAAACTGTTAAATGCTCAGTTAACCTGTCCCATTGATGATCACTTTCGGTTTGTTGGCACTTAGATTGTTGTCCCATGAGCTGGGAAATCTCTTTGCAGGGTAAGGCTGGGTGTTTAATGCATCAAAAATGCAACTGAAGTGTCACTTGTGATAGAGGAACCAAGTAAGGGATGTGAGGTAATCATTGTTGAGAGGTTAGATTGGTTTTCATGTGAAACTGTAATGATCCTTTTATTGCTTACCTGCCAGAGATAGTACTGTTTGAAGGCTAGATCACCTGTCTCTTTTTCCTGCCATATTGTAATTGCATCAGATATGGAGAGATCTTGGCTCTGCCAATTGGAAGTCTATGGCCACTTTCATTCATCCCAGTACATAGAAAATATACTGTATATGATGACACTATGGGGTTGATTTACTAAACACAATTAGACTGTGCATCATACAAGGTGCAGTTGCACTCTGCAAGTGCAATTGTTCCAGAGCTTTGTAAATGAGATAAAGATTCACTTTGCAAGGAATACCCAATCACATGCAAGGAAAATTAAAAAAAAAGCACTTTTTCTTGCACATGATTGGATGATGGAAGTCAGCAGAGCTTCTGCTCATTTACTAAGCTCTGGAGCAACTGTTCTTGCAGAGTGAAACTGCACTTTGCGAAGTGCACAGTCCATTTGCCTTTTGTAAATCAACACCTTTGTGAGAGAAACCACCCTTTACTAACCAGCCATGTTAGTAAAGGCTCTGAGCAATGAGAGAAGTGTCAAATTAAAGCGGTACAAAACCCAAACTGTAATATATTGCAGTTTACCAAGCCTCAGATGTGGTGGCTGCATTAGTTTTCTTTTTTAGACTTTTTCCATCTGTTTTCACCTGGTGATCTGGCCTGTAAACACCTCCTGTATTAGAGTGCCCACACTCTGGATGAATGAGCACAGGGGGCACCTTTGGACGGCAGCACTCTCAGTCTGGGGGAAGGGGAGTGCTAGATGTACTAGCAGATTTGGATACACTAACAAATTAAAGCCAAACTCCAACTAACACTATAAACAGTTACAGCAACAATTTTATTCCTTTTGGGTGGGTATCCCTAAGAAGCCTCTCTCCGCACAGCCAACAGGTATTTCTGACATAGACTTGCATCCAAAGACTATGACCAGTCCATGGCTTGGTTTTGTTGTTTTTTTTATCAGGGGAAATCAACTTGGTTAGGGAAATGGGGATTATGGGATATCCAGTTTGGCTTGAATCAATGGAAGGGGGACACTTCCTTCCTATGTACAAAGGCAGATCCTGGACTTTTCTTTTCCTGAAAGCCGTCAGTCGTTGCGGATAGAAGCAGCTGCCCTTTATGGCGAGGAACTAGCAGCCCCTCAAAAATCAGCTTTACTTCTTATAGCTACAGTGGATATAAAAAGTCTACACACCCCTGTTAAAATGTCAGGTTTCAATGATGTAAAAAATGAGACAAAGATAAATCATTTCAGAACTTTTTCCGCCTTTAATGTAACCTATAAACTGTACAACTCATTCGATCAACAAACTGAAATCTTTTAGATGGAGGGAAGTAAAACTAAAAAAATATGGTTGCATAAAAGTGTGTACACCCCTAAACTAATACTTTGTTGAAGCACCTTTTGATTTATTACAGCACTCAGTCTTTTTGGGTATGAGTCTATCAGCATGGCACATCTTTACTTTGCAATATTTGCCCACTCTTCTTTGCAAAAACACTCCAAATCTGTCAGATTGCAAGGGCATCTCCTGTGCACAGCCCTCTTCAGATCACCCTACAGATTTTCGATCGAATCAAGGTCTGGGCTCTGGCTGGGCCATTCCAAAACTTTCATCTTTTTCTGGTGAAGTCATTCCTTTGTTGATTTGGATGTATGCTTTGGGTCGTTGTCATGCTGAAAGATGAAGTTCCTCTTCATGTTTAGCTTTCTAGCAGAAGCCTGAAGTTTTGTGCCAATATTGACTGGTATTTGGAACTGTTCATAATTCCTTCTACCTTGACTAAGGCCCCAGTTCCAGCTGAAGAAAAACAGCCCCACAGCATGATGCTGCCACCACTATGCTTCACTGTGGGTATGGTGTTCTTTTGGTGATGTGCAGTGCTGTTTTTGTGCCAAACATATCTTTTGGAATTATGGCAAAAAAGTTCAACCTTGGTTTCATCAGACCATAACACATTTTCCCACATACTTTTGGGAGACTTCAAATGTGTTTTTGCAAAATGTAGCTGGGCTTGGATGTTTTTCAGAAAAAGCTTCCGTTTTGCCACTCTACCCCATAGCCCAGACATGTGAAGACTATGGGAGATTGTTGTCACATATACCATATAGCCAGTATTTGCCAAATATTCCTGCATCTCCTTTTAGTGTTGCTGTAGGCCTCTTGGCAACTTGCCAGACCAGTTTTCTTCTCATCTTTTCATCAATTTTGGAGGGACGTTCAGTTCTTGGTATTGTCACTGTTGTGCCATATTATCTCCCCTTGATGATGACTGTCTTCACTGTGTTCCATGGCATATCTAATGCCTTGGAAATTCTTTTGTACCATTCTCATGCCTGATACCTTTTAACAATGAGATCCCTCTGATGCTTTGGAAGCTCTCTGCAGACCACGGCTTTAGCTGCAGGATGTGACTAAGAAAATGTCATGGAAGACCTACTAGAAGAGCTGAACTTTATTTGGGGTTAATCAGGGGCACTCTAAATGATGGCAGGTGTGTACTGACTCCTATTTAGCATGATTTTTAATGTGTTTGCCTCTTCTGAAGATAGCTACATCCCCAGTTATAAGAGGGTGTGCACACTTATGCAACCACATTATTTTAGTTTTTTATGTTTACTTCCCTCCCCTAAAAGATTTCACTGTGTTCTTCAATTGAGTTGTACAGTTTAAAGGTCACATTAAAGGTGGAAAAAGTTCTGAAATGATTTATCTTTGTCTCAGTTTCTTACATCACATAAACCTGACATTTTAACAGGGGAGTGTAGACCTTTTAGACTCCACTGCACATGCAGAGACATCTTTCTCTCTCCCCCTATAGAGCTGCTCCTAGCCCCACAGCATACCAGCCCTCCTGGCTTCTTGGAAGATCTCCTGGGACAAAAATAAAGAATTGAGCCCAGCGCTGTCCTTGGAAAGCTTGCTACGTGTGGCAGTCTGTCCCCTTGCAGATCCCAGAGTGTGCTGCTGTACTCACTCTGTCCTCTTTGCTCCCTGATGCTCCAGTTCTCCATCCCATTCACACTTCACTGTTGAATGTATCCTCCTGAGCCAGCCTGAGCTCAGCCTGAAGGCCGCCCCCCCAAACCTCGGGGACCCCTCCCATGCACCGACAGTCTCCTCAGCACTCCATCTTCCACCTGACTCAAAACCTGGGACTGACTGGACTCCCATGAACATGCAGATTAGGTATCCACCCCTTCCTGCTTACCGACTTCTGGAAGTCCTCCAGAGTCAGGAAGAGTCGATAGAGCCACAACCTGTTGAGTCATCCAGCTGACCTGCAATAACCTGACTTCATTCACAAGCACAATTACCATGAGTCATATACAATTATTTTACCTACAATTCTCTACACTACTGTAGTAGCACACACATAAATAAAAAATGATCATTACAAGCACATGTGTAAGTTTTTAAAAATTTTTGATTCGCTAATCTGCGAAAAAAGCCGATTCCTTTGAAAAACAACAGCTGCAAACCCACTTATTAAAAAGGGAAAAGGCTTCAGAAAGAACCATCTAAGAACTGGTAAGTGCAGAACATGTACCTTTAATTTAAATGCTCCTTGGAGTCTGCTGGGGAACTCCAAAATAATGGCAACTGTCAGTACTCCTGCAAAATGCAGATAGTGCCGTCGATCTAATAGCATAATGCATTCTTGACTCACTGTTGGGCAGTCACGGGGCAAAGAAGAAGAAGGGAGAAGTGAAGAAGAAGAAGAAGCAAGAATGAAAAGAATGAAAAGCAGAAGAGTTGTCAAGAAAAAGAAAAGAGTGAACTGAAGAAGTCACTCATTTATTCATTGAA